TGGAGACGCCGCCGCGCAAGCGCCGTCGCCGCGGGGGCGGCTTCCCGCGCCGCAACGAGGGAGGCGCGCCGTCGCCACGGCAACGCGGCCGCACGAAGCCCCCGGGGGGCGGACGGAGAGCCGTCAGGGATGGGGTGCGGAGGCGCCGGAGCGAGCGGGGCAAGGCGGAGCTCCGGGGATGGCGGCCGGGAGTGGGGCTGGGGGGGGAGATCCGCAGGGAGATGCGGCGAGGGGAAGATGGAGGAGGGGGGGGAAGGGTGGAAGGGAAGAGGTGAAGAGAGGGGGGGAGGGAGGGGAGAAGGGAGGGCTGGTGGTGACAGGACAAGGGGAACGGCTTAAACTGAGCCAGGGGAGGTTGAAGTCAGATGGGAGGGAGGACGAAGTTTTTCCCCCCGAGGGCGGTGAGGCACTGGCACAGAGGTATCTCAGAGCAGCTGGGAGGAAGCAGACAGTACAGAAACGTCCTGAAAATGTTCCTGCGTGTCCCTAAACTGTCGAGCTGCAACAAGAAATCTGCCTTAAGAAGAATTTGACTTCAGCAGAACTCAGGAATGATTCCTCTTCCTTTTATTTCTCTTCTCAGTAACTCCGTTTGCTCTGGCCTCTCTTCCTCTCCTCTGTGTCTTGTGTGTGTTGTGGGTGAGAGTCCAACCCACTGATGGAAGTGCTGTGATCCTCTTACAGCAGATGCTGTAAGCTGGCCAGACCCCCCAGACTCACACGAGCCCCCTCTGTACACCCCAGGACACCTCTGGGACTCTTCTGGATGACCACCACGACTGAGACCCACATGAGGACTGCCTGGACCCTACCAGACCCTCCTGGGACGGCTCCAGACTCAGTCTGGGACGCTGCTCCGAATTTGCCCCCAGCGATTCCGGGGGAGGCAGTCAGAGAGCTGGGGACGAGCGGCTGGAGGAGTGTGGAGAGGAGAAGGACCTGGTGGTGCTGGTTGGTGCTCGGCTCAACAGGAGCTGACGGCGTGCCCAGGTGGCCAAAGGGCCAACGGCATCCTGGCCTGCATTGGAAATGGGGCAGGGAGGTGAGCGTCCCCCTCTGCTCGGCATTAGGGACCATTGGGATCCGCAGGGTGACATGGGGACTCGTAGGGTGCCTTAGGGAGCCATTAGGATCCATAGGGTGCCAGGGGAACATAGGGTTCCACGGGGATCCACAGGGTGCTATGGGGACCCATTAGAATCCATAGGGTGCCTTAAGAACCCATGAGGATATATAGGGTGCCACGGGAACTCACAATGTGCCTTAGGGACTCATTAGGATTTGTAGGGTGCCAGGGGGACCCGTTAGGATCCATTGGGTGCCATGAGGACCCATAGGGTGCCTTAGGGACCCATTAGGATCCATAGGGTGCCATGGGGACCCCTAGGATGCCTCAGGGACCCACTAGAATTTTAGGGTGGCATTGTGTCACATAGCGTGCTTTAGGGACCCTTTAGGATCGATACGGTGCCACAAGGACCCGTAGAGTGCCTGAGGGACCTGTTAGGATCCATACGGTGTATTAAGGACCCATTAGGGTTCTGTGTGGTGCCATAAGGACCCATAGGGTGCCTTAGGCACACACTAGGATCCATAGGGTGCCAGGGGGACTCATAGCGTGCCTTACAGACCATTAGGATCCACAGGTTGCCACAGAGTGCCTTAGGGACCCTTTAGGATTCATAGGGTGCCATGGGGACCCCTAGGATTCCATAGGGTCCCATTAAGATCCATGGGGTGCCACAAGGACATGTAGAGTGCCTGAGGGACCCATTAAGATCTATAGGGTGCCATAGGGACCCGTTAGGATCCATAAGTTGAAATGGGAACACGTAGGGTGCCTTAGAGACTTGTTTGGATCTATAGGGTGCCAGGGGGACTCATTAGGATCCATTGGGTGCTTTGGGGATCCATAGGGTGCCTTAGGGACCTAGTAAGATCCATAGGGTGCCATGTGCACCCATCGGGTGCCTTAGGGTTCCATTAATATACATAGGGTGTCTTAGGGGCCCACTAGGATCCGTAGGGTGCCATGGGGATTCATGGGATGCCTTAGGAACCCATAAGGATTCATAGGGTGCCATGAGGACCCATAGCGTGCCGTTGGCACCCATTAGGATCCATAGGGTGCCATGGGGACCCATGGGGTGCCTTAAGGACCCATTAGGATCCATAGGATGCCATGGAGACCCATAGGGTGCTTTTGGGACCCGTTAGTGTCCATAGGCTGCCAAGGGGACCCATTAGGATCCATAGGGTGCCGTGGAGACCCATTAGAACCCACAGGGTGCCACTGAGACCCTCAGGGTGCCTTTGGGACCCATTAGGATCCATAGGGAATGAAGACCCCTAGGGTGTCTGAGGGACCCACTAGCATTTTAGGGTGCCATGGGGACCTATAGGGAGCTTTAGAGACCCATTAGGATCTATAGAATGCCATGGGGTTCCATTAGGATGAATAGGGTGCCAGGGGGACCCATTAGGATCCATAGGGTGCCATGGGGATCCCTAGGGTGCTTGAGGGACGCCTTAGAATTGTAGGGTGCCATGGGTACCCGTAGTGTGCTTTAGGGACCCAGTGGGATTCATAGGGTGCCACAAGGACCCGTAGAGTGCCTGAGGGACCTGTTAGGATCCATAAGGTGCCATGGGGACCCATAGTGTACCTTAGGGATCCATTTGGATCCGTAGGGTGCCATGGGGACCCATTAGGATCCATAGGGTGCCAGGGGGATCCATCGAGTGCCTTAGGGTCCTATTAGGATCCAAAGGGTGCCATGGGGACCCGTAAGGGGCCTTCGGGACACATTCGGACCCATTGGGTGCCATAGGGACCCATAGTGTGCCTTAGGGACCAACAAGGATCCATAGGGTGGCATGGGGACCCCTAGGGTGCTTTTGGGACCCATTAGGATCCATAGGCTGCTACGGGGACCCATTAGGATCCATCGGGTGCCTTAGGCACCCATCGGGTGCCTTAAGGACCCATTAGGATCCATAGGGTGTCATGGGCACCCATCGGGTGCCGTACGGACCCATTAGGATCAATAAGGTGCCACGGGTACACAGGGTACCTTAGGGAGCCATGAGGACCCATACGGTGCCATAGGGATCCATAGTGTGCCTTAGGGATACATCAGGATCCCTAGGGTGCTATGTGGACCCATTAGGATCCATTAGGTGCCTTAGGGATCCATAGGGTGCCTTAGGGATCCATTAAGATCCATACACTGCCAAGGGGACCCATTAGGATCCATAGGGTGTCATGGGCACCCATCGGGTGCCTTAGGGACCCATTAGGATCAATAGGGTGCCACGGGTACACAGGGTACCTTAGGGAGCCATTAGGATCCAGAGGGTGCCATGGGGACCCGTAGGGTGCTTTAGGGATCTGTTAGGATCCATAGAGTGACATGGGAACCCATTAGGATTCATAGGGTGCCACGGGGACCCACAGGGTGCCTTAGGGACTCATTAGGATTTGTAGGGTGCCTTAGGGACCCATTAGGATCCATAGGGTGCCAGGGGGACCCATAGGGTGCCTTAGGCACCCGTTACGATCCATAGGGTGCCATGGGGACCCCGAGGGTGCCTGAGCGACCCACTAGATTTTTAGGGTGGCTTTGGGACCCATAGGGTGCCACAAGGACACACAGGGTGCTTTAGGGGCATGTTAGGAGCCGTAGGGTGCCATGGAAACATATAGGGTGCCTTAGGGACCCATTAGAATCCATAGGGTGCTATGGGGACCCATAGGATGCCTTAGGGACCCGTTAGGATGCATAGAGTTCCACGGGGACACACAGAGTGCCTTAGGGAGCCATTAGGATCCATAGGGTGCCATGGGGACCCATTAGGATCCATAGGGTGCCATGGGGACCCATTGAGTGCCTTAGGGACCCTTTAGGATCCATAGGGTGCCACAAAGACCCGTAGAGTGTCTGAGGGACCCGTTAGGATCCATAGGGTGTCATGGGGACCCATAGGGCCTAAAGCCAGAGGCAGAGGCACAGCTGTGCCTTCCTGTTGCTTTCGGCTGATTCCTGTAGGGCTGCACTGACCGCTCTGAGGCCATGCTGCTCCGTACTGGTTGTCACTTGGCCATGCTGCACGTTTCTGGTCCGTACTGCTGGGCACTCCTCCCAGCTCCTACTTGTTCCTCTGGGACCCCGCTGACCACTACAAGGCCATACTGGGTTTTTACTGGGCTGCACAAGGGTCATCTTCACTTCTCTGTTGCTTTACTTCAATTAAGCCCCATTCCATGAACCCCATTCACCCCATAGGTGAGTCTCCTGTTTCCTACACTTTGGATCTGGGAGGTGACCACTCCTTTGCCTATGATGCAAGCGCAGCGGTGATGCAGGCACTCGCTGAGGTCACAATGGTGGCCGGGCTGGGAGCGTTTGTGGCCCAGCTGGGAGCAGAGCTGGTGGTCTGGTGAGCGTGGTGCACACTTAGACTGAGCTCTGTGCTTTCCTTGAGAGATCTTCCTTGAGAGCCCGCTGGGAGCAGCGCTGCGGCGTGTGCGTCAGCTGGGCACCGCTCCGGCTGGGCAGTGACCAGGTGAGCTGGGTTGGTGCCGGCTGGGTGCCGGGAGGTGTCTCAGCAGAAAAGCTGGGCTGGGGAGCAGTTGCCAGCTCCGGCGGTGCCCCTCAGCACGGCTGTTTGCAGGGGAAATGGTTCTTGTTCAGCTTCCATCCCACGTTTCAGTGAGGATGATGAGCTGTCCTTCCTCCCCTGGAAATTCACGGCTGAGCCCCGCCTTCACGTCGCACATTGAAAAGCAGGGAGAGCACAAGCTTCTCAGAGCACAGCTCGTGCCCCCTGCCCCACGGGGGGCTGGGTGCAGAGCTGTTGAGGAGATGGAGAAGGGCGCTTGCTGGCACAAGCCGTGGCAGTCAGACCCAAACTGGACCTGGTGGCAGGCAGCTCTGGCAGCCAACTGACGTCCAGACGCTGCCCTCCTCGAGAGACGAAGAAGAAAGCTGGGAAGATGCTTCTTCCTCCTGATGTTTCACTGGTGGATCCTTTCTGCAGGGTTCCTGTCCAAAAGGAGATTTTGAGAGACCGAGGCAATCAAAGACAGAGGGAAGCAGCTCGATCCAAGAGCAGAGAAGTTCCTGCGCGCAGCCCTCGGAACTTCAGCTTCCCCAGAGACAGCGGCCATGTCTCAGGCAGGGGACGACCGCAGTTCCGCTTCCTGCTCTGGGAGAGGAAAGGTACGGCTGGGTTTCCTTGGCTTGGCTCTTCCTTTTTCTCATGTTGAAGGGAACGGCTGGAGCAGGGGGAGCCCTGCAGGTCCTTTGGGACCTCAGGAACCAGTTGGATGCTGCGCGCGCTGCTGATGGCGTGGGCACGGCTCAGGCCGTATTTTCCCTTAGTGATCAAGAACGTGTCAGCACTCTGCCGTCCCACCTCTGGCCCGACCTGGAAGCTGTCTGCAAACCTTGGCTGCCCGTTCCCTCCAACGTTTCTTCTTTCTCTCCTCAGAAGCAGCGCGGCGCGGTTCCCCGCGTTGGGGAGCAGCAGCCAGCAGGCTGCCAGAGATCCCACGGCGCCTGGCAGCGCACAGAGGGACGCGATGGGGACGGGCCGTCCTCACTGCCGCGCAAAAGTAAGTTTCTGCAGTCCTCTGTCGTGAAGGATGGAGGGATGAATGTGGAGTGTGACTTCTGAGCGGGTGCAGTGCTGTAGGGATGTCCAGTAACCACGGTGGAAGTGTGAGAAAGGCCGACAGCGACAGCCGATGGCAGCAGCGAGACAGAAGTCTGTGTGCAAGTGGTGCTGCTCAGAGCTGAGCGCATTCCCTCCAGGGACAAGAGATCCGTGTCTCGACGTTTGCACCCGGTAGCGTTTTGTTTGCTGGTGCAGCTTTGCTCTGCAGAATGCAGAGCTGTCAGGCAGTCCGGGGTTCCTCTGCTGCCATCTGACAGGAAGGAGAGCAGTAGTGCTTTGTGTGAGCGCAGTGCAGTTTGAACATCAGTTTCTGCTCTGGCTGTAGAACAGCGTCTTTTGGATTTGGGGGGGGTGTGGGCTGACAGGACAGCGCTGCTCCTGGTGTCTGTGCAGTCACACTGGATCTGTTGTTGCAGGGACGGAGCCTGCGCGTCCGTGGGATGGTGCTGGGCCCGGGGGGAAGCGGAAAGCCTCCGCAGGTAAGGAGCTCCTGTGAGCTGTGCTGTGGGTGCTGCCTCTAAGCAGGGCTGCGTGCAGGGCTGTGTGTGATGGAGGAGAGAGGAAAGGGTGCTGCAGATCTGTGCTGACTGCACAAGTGGCACAAGGCTGTAGCAGTGGAAAGGAAATTGAAGAAACTGCGCTTGAAGAGCAGCAGTTTGTGTCTGACTGTGCCCAAGTCTTCCTCCAAGGAGCTGCTCTTCATGTCTTTCCTGCTTTCTTTCTTCAGAAGCTGATGCCAGCCTCCCTCTGAAGCGCAGCCATGCGGAAAGGCAGGGCAGGAGCACAGAATGGGACGTGGCACCCAAGAGAGGTACAGACACCCAGCAGGCATCGGGGCTTGGTGCACTGCCTTTCTAATCAGGCTTTCTGCCTGTTCTTTCCTGGGACTGTTGTCACTGTGTGCTGGTTGTGGTCACAACCACAGTGAGCATTCCTGCACTGATTAGAAATGGGAGCCCACAGTTCACCTGAGATCCCAAGCTCCGTGACTGTGAACACTCCAGATGAGATGTGCCAGCATCGCGGCCCATTCTGCAGACTGAAAGCAGCAGTGCGCCCTGGTTCAATCTCGTTGCTTCTTGTCTTTTCGCAGAGATCGGTGCTGAGCCAAACGGCCATCTCCACGTGAAGGTGGTGCAGCAGGGGCGTTCCGAGAGAGCTTGTCTCCCTGAGAGAGCTCCAGCTCCTCTCCAGGCTGGAGGGCTTCCTGGCAGAGCAGGTCCCAGCACAGGGGGAAGAGCTTCCCCTGCCGCGTGCCCCCGCTCCGTCTGCAAGGCCCAGGCTGGATGCAAACGCAAGGCCTTGGAGGAAGGGACACCAGCAGCAGCGCAGCTGCCTGCCCACAAGAGAGCCAGGGCTGAGAGCGGAGGCAGCGTGCCGGCTCCAGCAGCGCAGCCTGGGCCTGCCGCAGCGCGGAGCTCCGGGCGCAGAGGTGAGCAGGGCTGTGTACCGCTGTGCTGAGCTGCTGCCCTTTGCCAGCACGCTGAGTTTGCTCAGGGTCTGCTTTGCCTTTTCCTTTTGTGTCGAGGGGAAATGGGTTGAAGGCTGCCAAGTCTGAAGGCAGCCAGGTGCCAGAATGTGCAACCCCGTCTCTTTAACTGCATGGTGGTCTTCTGCACGTCCCACTGGAAATGTCATTCACTGGGGGGTTCCTCGTCCAATTTCCTTTGTCTTTTTTCTGCCGTCTGCTTTTATGGTACCCACGTTTCTGCAGTTCTGCTGTTGACAAAAGAAATTCCTCTTTTGTCTTGCCTGATAGCAAGAAGACAACGCCAAAAACAAAGGAGAGCAGAACTGAAGAAGGCTTCTCTGAGAGCCGCAGCTGCACGTGCAGAGGTGAGTCCTCGGTGAGCACAGATGCGGCTCTTGTTGTTGTCAGGGCCTCCGTCTGTCAGACATGGAAGAGATTTCCCAAGGGAAGCACTGTCCTGTTTCTACACTCGCTCTGTTTCTTTCCAGTCCTCCGCCATGAACAGCCTGGTGGAGATGATGCAGAAGCTGCAGCTGCACGACTGAGAGGAGGAGCATCAGCAGGCAGCGCTGCAGTGCGCGGCGTTGCAGGGCAGCGCTCCGAGTGCCGCCCAACTCGGCACTCCAACTTTGGTTGTAGTCAATAAAAACATGGCATGCTAACTCAGAGAACGATGCCGTAGAGATGGCTGAGTTTCCCAGGGCAGCGCTGAGTACTTTTTGCTTTATGCTGAGTGTACACTGAGCCAAGTTCCCCAAAAGGACGGCGTTTCCTCTGGGCTGTTGGTCCAGAGCAGCATCTCTGCACTTAGGAGCGCCACGCTGCCATCCCGGCACTGCTCTGCTCACAGACAGCGCTCCAGGTCGTGGCACTCAGAAGGTGCCCCTCTGTCGTGCAGCCCTCCCCAGCGCCTGCCTGCCTGTCCCTGTGTGGGCTGCGATGGAGCTTTTCCTTTGCAGCGCCCGGTGTGACGCCGTGTCCTGGTTCCGTCGGTGCCATCCTGCAGGCTGCTGTGCACAGCGCAGTGCTGCGGAGCTGTGCTTCCCGGCCCTGTGCTCTCCGGCACTCTGGTGTGAGTTCTGCCTCTCCCAGGCATCTCCTGTTCCCAGGAACCTCCGCTGCTCCCTTGCACGCAGAGCTGTGTGCACAGCCCTGTGCAGAACCGCACACCCACGTGCAAGGACTTCCCTGCACACACTGCTGTGCATCCACACGCACAAGCACATCCTCGCACGGCCCTGTGTGCACACTCCATCCGTGTGCACACAACCGTGTGCAAAACCACACAGCCTTGTGCAAAGACCTCGATGCACAGCCCCGTGTTGGCACACACACACACCCGTGTGCAAACCCACCCCTTTGCACGGCAACACGCATGAAGGCACGAGCGGAGCTGCAGCCCTGCACACAGCCGTGCGCACACACACACACACACGCAAAAGTAACATTCACGTGCAAACACCCTGCACACACCCACGTGCAATGCACACTCATATGCAGCACCACCTCTAAGATGATCGGAGGGCTGGAGCACCTCTGCTGTGAGGAAAGGCTGAGGGAGCTGGGCTTGTTTAGCTTGGAGAAGACAAGGCTCCAGGGAGACCTCATGGTGGCCTTGCAGTGCTTGAAGGAAGTGTATAAACAGGAGGGGGAACGGCTGTGTGTGAGGGTGGATGGTGACAGGACAAGGGGGAATGGTTTTAAAGTGAGACAGGAGATTTAGGTTAGATATTAGGAGCAAGATTTTCCCCCCGAGGGCGGTGAGGCACTGGCACAGGCTGCCCAAGGAGGCTGTGGGTGCCCCAGCCCTGCAGGCAGTGGAGGCCAGGCTGGATGTGGCTCTGGGCAGCCTGGGCTGCTGGTTGGCGACCTGCACGCAGCAGGGGGTTGGAAGCAGGTGAGCGGTGCGGGGCTTTGCAGCTGGTCAGGGGGCTGCAAAGGCAGGCTGAGGGACGTGGGCTTGTTCAGCCTGGAGGAAAGAAGGCTGCGGGGTGAGCTCACTGCAGCGTGCAGCAGCTCAAGGGAGCCTGCAGACAGGAGGGGAGGGAAGTCTGGGGAAGGGGAGATGGCAGCAGGACGAGGGGAAACGGTTTGGAGTGGAGGGAGGGGAGATGGAGGTTGGACGTCAGGGGGAAGTTCTGCACCGAGAGATGGAGAGGGGCTGGAACAGCTGCCCAGAGAGACTGTGGATGCAGAGCAACGGTCTAGCATGGAAAGCAGAGAGCCCCTTCTGCAGGGGCTTGGAACTCGATGATCTCGGGGGTCCCCTCCAACCCAAACCGTTCTACGATGCTGTGCTTTACAGACCCAGCCAGGTGAGAGAGCTGGGTGCCTTATGGCACGGCGTGCTTGGCCACAGGGAGCTTTGGCAGCAGAGGTTTGCTGTCAGGAGGCACGAAGGCCTCCTTCCTGACCATCGCAAGTCTCTCTGCTGCTTCACAAAGGTCAACTCATCCATGTGGACACCAACAGTGGGATTTTCCGAGTGCCTTTAAGGACTGATCCCCCCTTGACGCCTGTTGGGTATCTCAGAGCAGCTGGGAGGAAGCAGACAGTACAGAAACGTCCTGAAAATGTTCCTGCGTGTCCCTAAACTGTCGAGCTGCAACAAGAAATCTGCCTTAAGAAGAATTTGACTTCAGCAGAACACAGGAATGATTCCTCTTCCTTTTATTTCTCTTCTCAGTAACTCCGTTTGCTCTGGCCTCTCTTCCTCTCCTCTGTGTCTTGTGTGTGTTGTGGGTGAGAGTCCAACCCACTGATGGAAGTGCTGTGATCCTCTTACAGCAGATGCTGTAAGCTGGCCAGACCCCCCAGACTCACACGAGCCCCCCCTGGACTCCCCAGGACACCTCTGGGACCCTTCTGGATGACTCCACCACGACTGAGACCCACATGAGGACTGCCTGGACCCTACCAGACCCTCCTGGGACGGCTCCAGACTCAGTCTGGGACGCTGCTCCGAATTTGCCCCCAGCGATTCCGAGGGGGGACAGTCAGAGAGCTGGGGACAAGCGGCTGGAGGAGTGTGGAGAGGAGAAGGACCTGGTGGTGCTGGTTGGTGCTCGGCTCAACAGGAGCTGACGGCGTGCCCAGGTGGCCAAAGGGCCAACGGCATCCTGGCCTGCATTGGAAATGGGGCAGGGAGGTGAGCGTCCTCCTCTGCTCGGCATTAGGGACCATTGGGATCCGCAGGGTGACATGGGGACCCATACGGTGCCTTAGTGACCCATAGGTATCCACAGGGTGCCATGGGGACCTGTAGGGTGCCTTAGTGACCCATAGGGCTCCATAGGGTGCCATGGGGATGGATTAGAATCCACAGGGTGCCATGGTGACCCTTAGGGTGCTTTAGTGACCCATAAGGATCCATAGGGTGCCATGAAGACCTGTAGGGTGCCTTAGGGACCCATTAGGACCCTTAGGGTGCCTTAGGGACCCATTAGGATCCACAGGGTGCCATGGGGTTCCACAGGGTTCCTTAGGGACCCATTAAGATCCATAGGGTGCCACGGGGACCCATACGGTGCCATGGGGATTGATTAGGATCCACAAGGTGCCATGGTGACCGTTAGGGTGCCTTAGTGACCCATAGGGATCCATAGGGTGCCATGGGGACCTGTAGGGTGCCTTAGGGACCCATTAGGACCCTTAGGGTGCCTTAGGGACACATTAGGGTCCATAGTGTGCCAGGGTAACCTGTTAGGACCAATATGGTGCCATGGGCAACTGTATGGTGCCTTAGGGAACTATTATGATCCAGAGGGTGACATGGGGACACATTAGGATCCATAGGGTGACTTAGGGACCCATTAGGATACATAGGGTGTCTCAGGACCCCTAGGGTGCCTTAGAGACCCATAAGGATTTATAGGGTGCCATAGGGTCCTGTAAGGATCTTCAGGGTGCGTTATGGACCATTAGGATCCATAGGGTGCTGTGAGGACTTGTAGGGTGACTTAGGGACCCATTAGGACACTTAGGGTGCCTTAGGGACCCATTGGGACACATTGGATGCCTAAGGGACCTATTAGAATCCTTATGGTGCCAGGGGAACCTGTTAGGATCAATATGGTGCCATGGGGAACCATTGAGTGCCTTAGAACATTAGGTACCCATTAGGTTCCATAGAGTCCCCATTAGCACATTAGGATCCGTAGGTTGCTTTAGGGACCCATAGGGATCCATAGGGTGCCTTAGGGACCCACTGGGACCCACAGGATGCCTTAGGGACCATTAGGATCCGTAAGGTGCCTCAGGACCCCGAGGGTGCCTTTGGGACCTGTTAGGATTTATAGGGTGCAACAAGGAACTGTAGGGTACCTTAGGGACCCATTTGGATTCATAGGGTGCCAGGGAAACCCTTAGGGTGCTTTAGGGACCCATTAGGATCCATAGGGTGCCTTAGGGCCCCCTTAGGATTCATAGGGTGCCATAGGGACACATAGGATCCTGAGGGTGCCTCATGAACCATTAGGATCCATAGGGTGCTATGGGGAACGTACGGTGCCTTAGGGACCCATTAGGACCCATAGGGTGCCAGGGGAACCGTTTAGGATCAATATGGTACCATGGTGACTCATTGGGTGCCTTAGAGACCCATTAGGATCCGTAGGGTGCTAGGGGGACCCATAGGGTGTCTTAGGGACCCACTAGGATTCATAGGGTTCCAGGGGAACCGGTTAGGATCAATATGGTGCCATGGTGCCAGGGGAATCTGTTAGGATCCATAGAGTGCCATGGGAACCCATTGTGTGTTTTAGAGAACCATTAGGATCCATAGGGTGCCGGGGAAACCCATAGGGTGCTTTAGAGACCCATTAGGATCTATAGGGTGCCATGGGGACCTGTAGGGTGCCTTAGGGACCCATTAGGATCCTTAGGGAACCAGGGGGACCCATTAGGATCCATAGAGTGCTATGGGGACCTGTAGGGTGCCTTAGGGATGCATTAGGATTTATAGGGTGCCATGGAGACCTACGAGGCTCCCTAGTCCACCCTTGGGTGCCATAAGTATCCATAGGGTGCCATGGGGACCACATACAGGCCACACCTCGAACGCTGTGTTCAGTTTTGGGCCCCTCACTGCAGGAAAGACGTTGAGGCCCCAATGTGCAGAGAAGGGCAACGAAAGTGGTGAGGGGTCTGGAGCACAGGGCTGCTGAGGATGCCGATGGCATGGAGAGCAGAGGAACGAAGGGAGAGCAGGCAGAGGGGGGCCGGCACTCCCAGCCGGGCCGGGCAGCAGCCACCGCCTCACAATGCATCACAATGGGCCTCACAAGCGCCGTCATGGCGTCGCCGCGACGACGTTTGTGACACGGGCGCCCAGGGGGGTATAAAGGCGGAGCGCGGCGGCGGGTCCCACATCCTGAAGGAGCATCTGGCCGAGAGCAGACGCATCCGCAGGAGGAGCTCCAGCATGGCTGGCGCGAACGAGGAGCGAGCCGCCGGCACGAGGCGGAACAGGAGGAGTGAGGCCGGCCCCGCAGCGGGGCGCGCCTCCGGACCCATGGACACGGACAGCAAAGGTGTGCGGGGCCGCGGCCAGCTCGGAGCGGGGCTGCAGCCGCCCTTGGTGCTGAGACGGCGCGTCGCTCTGCCGCCTCGCTCCCGCCTGGCAGCCGGAGGGGCGCCGGGCAGCGGCAG